TTTTATTATGAGCTAGTGCAACACCATACCTATCTGAAAATAAAATAAAAAAAATTGTGAAAGAAAACTAATGCAGCCACCACATCTATGGGTTGGTAAGTTGCAATATATTTGATTTTTGTTCTTGGGTTTTTAAGTGCTTTAAGCTACACTCCTAAGGTGACTTCCATTACTGTAACCAATCATAGAGGGGGGCAGGAACAGCAGCAGGCTTGAAGAGGCTATCTCTTTGCTCTCTAATCTTAGCAGGAGTGGAATAGACATTTCTGCAAATTTTTTGGGAAATATCTGTAAAAGTCTACTTTAGCAAAAAGTGTATGTTGGCCAGTACTGTATGCAACTGTCAATATATTACCAACATCTTGCTTAAACCCCTACTCGAGGGTTTAAATAAAATTCCTTGCGTTGGGGCCATTTCACATTGCAAGGGTTAAATGCTTGTTAAATCTTGGAGTAGAAAAATAGGCCCTAATACTTTTTAAATTTGATTTATTTATTACAGGTACTTGTATAGCGCTGTTAATTTACGCAGTGCTTTACATATGTATTGTACATTCACATCAGTCCCTGCCCCCAAGGGGTGTACAATCTAAAGTCCATAACTTACATTCATACATACACATACTAGGGCCAATTTACCTACCAGCATGTCTTTGGAGTGTTGGAGGAAACCGAAGAACCCAGAGGAAACTCACGCAGGCACAGGGAGAATATGTAAACTCCAGGCAGAGGTGGTGCCATGGTTGGGATTCGAACCAATGACCAAAGTATTGCCAGACGGAAGTGCTAACCATATAACTAATGTGATGCATTACTTGCCTTACTCCTCGCACTGGCAGGATTTCATCATGTTGTGCAACCGATCCCCTGCGGTCACACGTGTGGATTGAAGATCAGGTTTCACAGCTAATTGACATAGAGGTCTTTCAGCGGTTCAAGTCAGGTTTGGATCAGGACAGGTTCAGGTCAGAATTTTATCCTATTCACACACGTGTTTAGAAACGGTTCCCATAGATGTCAATAGCCTGTAATCCGCACCTGAACCGGATCGTACTGCTCAGAAATCGGACATGACTCTTCTTCAATCACACTGCCAGTGCACCGAACATATGTGAACAGACTCCATAGGAAGCAATGTAGTTTCACGTCATGCGGATTGGATGCCAAATCCAATCTGCATATATGTGAACCGGCACGAAGTTGCACTCTAAAGTTGTCACATTCAATGCAGGACCAGCAGTCTTATAATGTATGTGAGGACGGTGAGGGCCTGCCCACATAGGAGTGCTAGGGAGGAGAGTACAGAAAGTCTGCTGGGGTGTCACATAAGGCAAGTATTACGCTAATTCTTCTACCCATAGACTTGACAAACTGTTAACCCTTGCAGCTTGCTGTGTGTGTAGTTCTGCTTTAAAATATAGAGGTATCTGATTTTCCTGCTTTTAACTTTATGCTGATGTGCAGGCAGTTGAGCCAGGACATGGCTGGCAGAAAAGTAAAATGTCAAAGGTACACTTGGGAAGTGTGTGTTATGATCAGCCCAAGCAGGAGAAGCTTAACATTAAAAACATATGTTTATGGAGGAGATCTTAAATCTGAGTATCAAGCAATAAAGTTTATTTTAGCAGCAGTTTCTTGTTCCGTTTTTAGCTATGAATGGGAGCAAGTTTTTTTTTTTTTTTTTTTTCTTCTTCTTCTGTTTGTGGTTCATTTTGGTTAAAAATTTTTTTTTTTCCTATTGGCATAGTACACACTGTACATGCTACCTACGATTTAGCATCTCCTGATCAGCCAGATGAGCTCTGCACTCCTGCAGAGATTTCTTTGCTGATCTCTGGGAATTCACTTATGACATTTGATTCTCGAGGTTAAAGATGAACTCCAGGTGAACTAGTTACACATTTGAAATGCATATTAAGCTAGGGCTTCAAGTTTAGTTTAAAATTTGCCTAGAATTTTAAAGCTTAACTTTGGGCTAAATCTATAGTTTGCCCATTCCAACCCAATCCTGCCAGCTTTTACTTATTCCTTACCTGGCAAGGTCAGTTATATACACTGGAGTTTCCCCATCCAAGTCCCTCAGTGATGATGTTCCAACTGTGGGGGCTGCTAATCCAGTGCCACACATTAACCCTTGCTGTCTGGTCCCCTTCACTTCTTTAGTTAAATCTCTTCCAAATCCTAAGGGGACCTCTCCACTGGTTGGCCAAAGGGAAATGTCCACGTCACTCAGGTAGTGAGGTGGATGCCTGGAAGGACACTTGCAAGAAGCAAGAGTAGAAAGAGACATGGCACCATATGATGATGTAATCACATGACCATGAGTTTAGGTAAGTTAAAAAAAAAAAAAAAGCCCCCCCCCCCCCCCCCAACCCAGGGATAAGAGACTGGGTGAAAAGATTTGGAAGGGTTTTTATTTTTATCCTAGTGTTGGGCTTTCATGTTTGATAGTAGTTGATACTCACTGAGGTAGTATTAGAGGACAATATTGTTGATATAGTTAATAAACTGACAGTGTCTTGGTGCCTAGATTTCCACTTTATCAGTGGTGCCTGTGCCTTGGTGTGGGGAAACCACATTTTCAGTTTGTGCTCTGCCTTTTGGCTTGTCTGCTGCACCAGAAGTAATCAGAAAGGTGCTGGCACTGGCTTTGGCTCATCTGCAAGCAAAGTTATGCAGAACTTCAGCCAGGTCCTCCATCTTAAAAGGGACCCTGGAGCCACCGCAGTACCTGGAATATCTGGGCCTCATCCTGGACATTGCCCTGGCACAGTTTTCCTTCATCAGGAAGAGCATTCCACAGTACAGGAGTTAAGTTTCCTGAAACACCTCTATTTGTTTCTGGATGAGGGTGCTGGGGTTGATTGTTTCTTCCTTCGAGGCAGTCCTGTCCTTTGTTTCCTTCAAGACTGTTGCATCTCAGCATCCTGACCGCATGGGACAAAAGACCCTTTGCCCTTGGTTCCCCCAATGTCTCTGAGAACCAAGACCAGGTTAGCCTTAGAATGGTGACTGTCCAGTATGGCAATGAGGTCAGGGAAATCCTTTCTTTCCCGGATGTGGAAAGTACTGATGTATGCCAGTCTGTCAGGCCTTGGAGGAATCGTGGGCTACTTGTCCATTCATGGGACATAATCAGAGGAAGGACCAAACCTGCTCGAGGTCCTAGAACTCGGGGCACTTTGGCTTGCCCTTCAGGACTGGACCCCACTGCTCCGGGGACTGCTAGTAAAGATCTAATCCAACAACACCATGGCAGTGACATATTAATCAGCCAGGTCGGTATTAGAAGTCAGACCACTCTTCAAGAGGCGGGGAGATTGGACTTCGGCAGAGCTACATGTTCTTGTTCTGTCCATGATGTACATTCTCAGTGTAGAAAATTTGCAAGCAGACTTTTTAAGCTGCCAATGGATCCTGGAGTGGTGGGAGATGCCAGACCTAGTTTAATGTCCAGAACCAAAAACTGAACAGTCACTTCATGGATTTGATTCAACCTGTTTTATGTGTACCCTTTCTCCCATCCTTGAGCTCGTCTCATCTGAAATTTTTATTTTTTTTTCCCCATAAATATAGCTTTCTTTCAGTGGTATTTGATCACCTCTGCGGTTTTTTTTATTTTGTTCTGTAAATAAAGACCAATTTTGAAAAAAATATATATTTTTGACTTTTTGCTATAAAACATCCAATAAAATGTTAAAAATCTAATTTCTTCATAAATTTAGGTCAAAATGTATTCTGCTACATGTCCTTTGCTAACAAAAAAAAAAAAAATCTCAATACGTGTAAATTAATTTGGCTTACGTGAAAGTTATAATTACAAATTGTATATATACTGGAATTTTTTATTTTTATACTAATAGCAGCGATCAGCAACTTATAGCGGGTCTGCAGCGGGCATTCTGACACAGGGTGGGAACTAACTGCCACTGAGATCCCTAGTGACGCGAAGTACAGTGTCAGTGCTTTTTATTGGCACTGATCACTGTATGACACTGGGCAGGAAGGGGTTAATATCTGGGGCGATCAAAGGGTTAACTGTTGTGTGTGTTTTTTACCAGGGAGACATGCTGTTCTGTATCTCTCTGCTGTGCAGAGATAGAAAACCGCATGTCTATGCTGACAGAGAGAGTCCTGGTGTTGTCTTTACACACAAGTCTCTCCCCTGTCCACTTTACCCAATGAGTTCCAGATGGGAAATGCCGGCCGGGATCCAGTCATTGCCATCCCCAGCGCCAATAGCGACGCGGGTAAGGTGGCGTGCACATGCTTTCTACCCAGAAATGCAATTCGCGTGTGTGTGTATATGTACGTTATTTTGCACAGCCCTGCCGCCCTGTAGTAGTACTTCAGAAGGAAAGTGGTTAAGAAAAAAAAGAAAAAAAAAATTATATATATATATATATATATATATATATATATATATATATATATATATATATATATATATATATAATTTTTTTTTTCTTTCTTCTAAAATACCATTCTTGGAGTTTATTACTGGGCACAGGTCCTTCCCCTCTGGGTTCACTCTGATGTTGCTTGCTGAGAAAACTGAGGCAATGCTGGTAATGGAAGGGGTTATGCTGGTCAGTGTCAACTTTGCTATTTGCCACTTTCTAATCACCTGGAGGTAGTGTATCACAATATTCTAAGAATTATAGTATTAAACCCCCAGTGTTTTTTTAGGATTAACACATTGAGCACAATAAAATATTCCCAGTAAACTAATCACTAGCCTACAGGGCACGTATACCCCCTTCCTGCCCAGGCCAATTTTCAGCATTCTGCGCTGTCCTACTTTTGAATGACAATTGCGCAGTCACTCAACACTGTACCCTTTTGCTGGTATTTAATCACCTCGGGGGGGGGGGGGGGGGGGGGGGTTTCTAAACAAACCAAAAACTGAAAAATTTGAATAAAGTTTTATTTCTTAGTTTTTTTGTTATAAAAACTAGTTTTTGTTATAAAATGAGTGATTTTTTTTTTTTTTTCCTCCTTCACTGATGTGCGCTAATGAGGCTGCAGTGATGGGCACTGATGAGGAGGCACTTGTAGGGGGCACTTTTAGGCGGCACTGATAGTTGACACTGCGGCAGCTCAGATGGGCACTGATATGTGGCATTGATGTGCACTGGTAGGCACTGATATGTGGCACTGATGGGCACTGACAGCTGGCATTGATGGACACTGACAGGTGGCACTGCTGGGGCTACACTGATCATCAGGGCACACTGATCATCAGTCCCCTGATGATCAGTGTACATGTCCCCTCTGAGGGATGCCGATTACCGACTCTCCACTCCTCACGAGCTGTCTGCGTGACAGGAGAGAAATGCCGATAACTGGCATTTCCCTATTTTACATGCGATCAGCTGTGATTGGCGACAGCTGATCACATGACTGAGCCGATATCTTTGGCTCTTTCCGTTGATCTGCTGTGTCCAAGGGACACCGCGCACCACCAATCGCTGCGCGCCCCCGGGGCCGCACATGTGCGTTTAGAGTGGGAGGACGTCCTCCCAGAACGAGAGAACCACCTGGCGCCCGTCATTACTTTATATGGCGGCAGGGAGAAACGGTTAAAATTCTTACCCTTGCATTGCAGTTTTCAACTCTAGACCTTGCTTGCAAGGGTGGCCCCATAGGATGCTGCAAGAGAATGGAGCCACCCTGAAATAAACCACCTGGACCAATGATCATGGCATCAGCCTAAACGTGAACGTTGGCAGGGATTAAAAGATAGACTATGTATACACCAGTAAATCGACTTTGGAAAGTGTTTAAAGAAACAAAGGGTTTAATAGCACTTTAACTCTCCCTTTTGTCCTGTGGTATACCCCAAGAAATGGATTTTACAGGTAAGTGAAAAATCTTGTTTTTATTATTCACATCAATTACATTTGTCAGCTACAGATTTTTCAGATCTTTAACATTCTAGATTGGGTTTCTCAACCAGAGTTCCTGCAGAGGTTGCTAGAGGGTTCCTTGAATGATGAAAATGTCTGCTGTTCAGATACGTTCCCACTGACACCATTGATCTTTTTAGCTATCTGTAAGGGGGTAAGTTTTTTTCCAAGTGACCACAAGTGTAAGAAGCATTTTTTTCCACTGACCATCACACCTTAATATATTAGGATTCTCTGAGATTAAAAGGTTATTTCAAGGGTTCCTCAGTGTGGAAAGGTTTGACTGTCTGATCTAGATGATGATTTTTGAAGATATTCGGGGGAAGTTTTAAACCTCTTCAGAGGTGTAACTGATATGTAGGGCATTTTTTTTCTGACTTTATGGTGAAACTCTTCATACAAATGCTGGTTTGCGGGTTTGATTGTGCAAGCTAGTCCAGCAGATACAGTACTCCAGCTTCCTGTTTCCTCATCAGATGGGTTTTTGCATAGCTTAAATTGTAGATGACAGAGTTTGGAAGCTGCCAGCTGCGGGTCTATAAAACATTTGCTTCCTAACTTGCAGTTTCTAAAGTACTTCTTCTTTGGATAAAGCAGCAGATGCACTTTTGCAGAGTCTCCCCTTTTTATGAAATTTGTTTTTGTAAATCTGATGCATAGAAAAACCCCAATCTCTCAAACAAAATACAGTTGTGTTCAAAATAATAGCAGTCCGACATCACTAACCTGCTAAATCACTGTTTTTGGTAGAAATTATATTTCTACATGGCAAATAATTTACTAGCAGGTGTAGTAGAGTAATAGAATTATAACCGACCCAACAGTCATGACATGCATGCTGCTGATTCTGTGTAATGGAATCACTAATTGAAAAGGGCATGTTCAAAAAATAGCAATGTGGAGTTCTATTAGTGAGGTCATTCATTCTTTGAAAAACAGGTGGCATTTATTGCCCTTATTTAAGGAAGGAAGGCAGCAAATGTTGTACATGCTGGTTACAGTGCATTTCTCTCTGAAATTCTGAGGAAAATGGGTCGTTCCAGACATTGTTCAGAAGAACAGCGTACCTTGATTAAAAAGTTAATTGGAGAGGGGAAAATATATAAAGAAGTGCAGAAAATGATAGGCTGCTCAGCTAAAATGATCGCAAATGCTTTAAAATGGCAACCAAAACCTGAAAGACGTGGAAGAAAGCGAAAAACTACCATTCGAATGGATAGAAGAATAGCCAAAATGGCAAGGACTCAGCCAACAATCACCTCCAGGAAGATCAAAGAAGGTCTAAAGTTACCTGTGAGTACTGTTACAATTAGAAGACGCCTACGTGAAGCCAAGCTATCTGCAAGAAGCCCCCGCAAAGTCCCACTGTGGAAAAAAAGACGTGCTGAAGAAGTTACAATTTGCCAAAGAGCACATTGACTGGCCTAAAGAGAAATGGCGCAACATTTTGTGGACTGATGAAAGTAAGATTGTTCTTTTTGGGTCTAGTGGCCGGAGACAGTTTGTCAGACGACCCCCAAACACTGAATTCAAGCCACAGTACACTGTGAAGACAGTGAAGCATGGTTGCGCAAGCATCATGATATGGGGATGTTTCTCATACTACGGTGTTGGGCCTATTTATCGCATACCAGGGATCATGGATCAGTTTGAATACATCAGAATACTTGAAGAGGTCATGCTGCCTTATGCTGAAGAGGAAATGCCCTCTTGCCAGAAGTTGGAGGTGCCAGAAGTTGGTTGACTCCATGCAACACAGATGTACAGCAGTTCTCAGAAACGGTGCTTATACAACTAAATATTAATTAAGTGATTCAAAAGAAAGCAAAATCATCAAACATTTTTCAGTTTATATAGTGAATGTTTGAGTTTGTAAAGAAGTATACAAACACTGCTATTTTTTTGAACAGTCTAATATTCACTTTTCTTCAATTTTTTTAGAGGAACAACACAAATTTGATATTTTTCTTCATGTTTTGATTTGGAATAGAAGGTGTAGTGTTCCCAATGCATTTGTGTGTATGGAAATAAAAACTATTTGAAGGATTTTGAGCTTTATTCACTGCTATTATTTTGAACACCACTGTATATGGATATTCTTAATCTTTTGAGGGTAAAACAAAGCCTAATGACTGAACAGTTTTGCAACAATGACATGTGCCAGTAAAATTCTACATATCATTGCAACTACGTAGTGTATCCAGATGTGTATATCTGGCACAACATAGTAAAAAAAAAAAAATACATTTAGCTGTATATTCCTTTTACCATAACCTACCAATAAAAAGCAACCCAAAAATAAATTCTCCTGCTCCTGACAGTTGCAGCAATACGTCATGTGTATGTTGTTGTTGTTGTACCTGTAGTAGGTAGGGCCCAGAAACAAAATAAAAAGATGTAAACTATTATTTATTTTTTTTATACAGGTGATCAGGAACTGGGCCTCCCAGTTCCTGATCGTTGGTGTTGGACCAGGGCTCTTGCGAGAGCCCATTCTCTGTGCCGGTAGTGTGCTATGCAGCATGCTCCCAGCACAAACGTGTACACATCTATGCAGCCCCACAGATAAAGACCCAGTTCCCTGAGGCCACGTGTGTACAGTCAGCAGGATGGGGTTAAGAAAGCTATGGGGCTTTGCTTTTAAATTTAACTAATAAATCACATATAAGTATCAGATTTATCAAACTAAAATGTTTTGTCTTGAATATATTTGAAAAAGGAATCAATAGCACCTTGCTAAAGGAATTGTGTAAAATTTATAGCAATTTCTCTATTTGGAACTAAAAATTAAAATTACTTTTTGGCTATAAATTTTAAAAAAGTACAGTGGTGTCGCTTGCTTGCCAGCAACCTGATAATTGTAGATTAAACAAACCTCAACACACTGATATCAACCCTGCCGGCTCCTCCTGTCTATATGCTCCTTTTTAGTACATGTTAATGCAGCGGAGCCTGATTAGCTGCTGATAATGGTGACACCAGTTTGGCCTGTGAAGTGTAGGTGGTTTGTTTAAATCCCCAGAGTGGCTACACTTTAATGTTTTGCCAGGTGTTAGTATGGCTGGAGCTCTGCACAAATGAACTGCTTTTGCATACATTTTGGTCAGAAGCTCATGGAGGGATCCCAAATTTGGGATTATTTTAAAGATTGTAGCTATGCACAGCAGCATCTCTGTCCACAAATCACTGTGTGTTAGGCCTAGTATACACTGCGTCTGTGAGGTGATAAAAGCACACAATTGAGCTGTGGTTTTTTTTTTTTTTTTTTTTTTTTCCCACCCACAATTATTCCTCAAGCTGCAAAGGCAGCTGAAGGGGCTGTACAAATACTATCCCCTCTGCCACTTTTGGCAGGCAGTACGTGTCCAAATGGGGGTCCCCTGCAATCACATGCAATGCATTGTTGTCACGCTAGGGTAAAAACAGGTGGTGAGGAGGCACTCTATTGCCTCCAACACATCCTACAAAGAGTGATCTATCATGGATTACAGTTAAGGGGGCAACACACCATTGTAAAGAATGCCTTAAAGTGACCCTTTCACCAAGTATGCCACATTGTAAAAGAAGAAAATAAATTTTACCTTTTTGGCAGGTGGTATCCTAGATCATCACTGTATTGCAGATCTCCATCCACCACTGGCATCTGACACTTCTAGGTCTATAGAATACCTAATCTCCTGCCACCACTTACATCATTATTGTGTCCAGTAATGATGTAGGAGCCATCAGGAAAAACAGCTGTGAGGTGTTAGGCATTTTGAAACACCCAGTAGTGTTGGAAACTAACAGTGGCCAGAGATCTGCAGGACAGCAAAGATCTAGGACAACTGTCTTGATGGGTATTTTTCTTTTACAGGGTAGTCTTTGATTTTTGGTAATAGGGTTACCTTCTGTACCTGAACTGTAGTAAATTCTTGCATACGTTTAATATTTTACACAGAAATATAACCATGCTATGGGCAGAAAAGCTGCTTAGTGGAGCACTAGAGTCTGTGGTTTGAATCCTAGCTGTCTGGAGTTTTCATGTTTTCCCTGTGTCTGCATGGGTTTCCTTTTGGGTACTCTGGTTTCCTATCACACTCCAAAGACATGCTGGTAGGTTAATTGGCTCCTGCCTCAACTGGCTATAATGTGTGTGCGTGTATATGGGTATGTATGTGATATAGGGACCTTAGATTGTAAGCTCTTTTGAGGGCAGGGGCCAGTGTGCATGTACAATATGTAAAGCACGGTGAAAATTATCAGGGCTATATAAATGCATGTAATAACTATAGTTAATATTTCAAGAAGAGCTTTTGACATCTGTGGATGGTTTAAGAAAGATTGCTTTGACTGACTTTTTTTTTTTTTTTTTTTTTTTTTTTTAATGGTATGTACAAATCGAAATCTGCATGCTCTGATCACCTTATTGGTAGCAGCAGAAAACTGGTCAGTTTTTATGTGGGGAAAATTACATTAGTTGGGATGAGTTTTTGGACTAATCAAATCTGGTCCCCCCCAAGATAAGGCTGTTA